CGAACCCCTGCTGTCTATGGACCTACGACAGGTCTACCAACTGCCTACGAATACACAGGTCACAGGTTCAATTCTCGGGGTCTACACAGATACTGCACATGGGTAGGGTGAGGTCTAGGGATCGAACCCTGGGTACTGCATCCGCTACTGCTAAAAGGTGAAAACCGTTTCAGCATCAACGAAGGAAGATAACCGCTTTGATGCTGCCACAACCAGTGGTGCCTCATCAACAATGCAGGCAGCGGCGAAGGAAGAGAACGAACAGCTTTGATGCGACATGACGTAGCAAATGATCATAATTTGGTAATTGTCGTTATTGTCGACAATGCAGGCAGCGACGAATGAAGACAACCGCTTTGATGCTGCCACAGCCAATGGTGCCTCATCAGCAAAGGACAAGCAGCATCTCGGACCTTCAACAAGTCGCAGTGTGGGGGTTTGATCAACTCTCCCCCCCGCTCCTCTTCTGTGGGCCGGAAAAATTGGTCGAATATCATTGTGGCCTGACAGATCACAGATCCTATATTAAAGTGATGTGTTAACAGATGCTACACTTGATCTTAGCCAAAAGGCTGATGACATACGAAATTTCCATACTTGCGGCGCATCCCATGCGTGCCACTTGCGCACGTGCGGCGCACTGCGCGTTGCGCACCTGGCGCCCGCACCCTGTGCGCCGCATGGCCAAAATTCGGGGTCAGCCAAAAAAAAAAAAAAGTTGGGGAGGGCGTGAATGGAAGTTCCCACGCCCAGCCAAAATTCGGACATTGCCCGCGCAAATTTTTTTCAGGGCCGCGCTGCCCCAAAACCTGTGTGCCGTCATGTTCACTGTACAAAACTCCATACTATCTTCAGTGTATCTGAGCCCTTTCAGAGGTCCAATACGGTCATGATGAGGAGGCATCTGTGGAACCCTTGCTTTTGTCTCATTCCACATATAGAAAACGACAGAACTGACAGTTGTCTCCTTGGTACTTTCGCTAAAAAAAAAGAAAAAAAAAAAAGAGAAAGAGAATGTCCGTGACAAGTTGAAAACCAACAACGTGGCGATGTATCTTTCCATGTTCTAGGGAAAGATTCGTTCTAATTTTGCACAAATTGGAGAGTAGTCGAACCTGCCACCAGAATCCGTTGGGCCTCTGGGCCTCTGCACTACTCTCGAGATGCACAACAGAAAAAAATCACGGCGGTGTATCTTTCCATATTCTAGCGGAAGATTCACTCTCGTTTTGCACATTTCGAGAGTAGTGCAGCGAGGCCCTCTGTCACATGAGGGCTGCAAGTCCAGCTGTAGTCGGGTGCGATGTAAGGGCCTCGCTCCACTACTCATGCACAAAAGACAAAAAATATGGCGGTGTATCTTTCCATGTTCTAGCGGAAGATTCACTCTCATTTTGGACATTTGGAGAGGTGGAGCGAGGCCCCAGGCTACCGTTGTATGACCCTCGCTCCACCACTCTCCAAATGTGCAAAATGAGAGTGAATCTTCCGCTACAAGATGGAAAGATACACCGCCATGTGCATGTGTAACCGTTTCCAAAATAAGACAAAAACAAAAAAGACAACAACAAATAAGAAAAAAAAAAGGAAAAGCAACGGCCTATAGGGCTGAACAAAACGCCCTCTGTCGAGAATCAATAGTGTCTGTTGATACAGGCGTTTTGTTCGGCCCGATAGTGTCAGGGGAATGATGTCGTGGCACAGCAGACAAACATGCCTGTATCAAGGGCACACACGCACACACACACACACACACACACGCACACACACACACACACACACAAAAAAAAAAAAAAAAAAAAAAGAAAGGCACATCCGCACGTGCGCGGGCATGGGGGTCACTCGGCCGCACTACAGCGCACTGCCAGTGCGCGCTCAGTGCGCGCGGTGCGCACGTGCGCACACATCACCCGTGANTATACTTTGGACAAAATTTGATAACGTGGGCCGGGTCACCACAGAATACGCACTGACCCATGTTCACGCGTTCCTGCCATAATTGTCGGTCCAAGCCCAAGTCTTCCCAGGGCCTGCCCTGTGGCAAGCCTGGGTGCCAACCTCCTTGAGGTGCTCTTCCACCTCTTCGTTGTGGGAACCGATTACCCTGGCGATTTGACGGGGGACCTTGACCCCTACCTCCCGCTTGGCGGTTTCCCTGTCCGCCAACCCCCTGTGCGCCCGGTCCTCGGCCTCCCATGGCCTGGCCCCTTTGAACCTGGCCTCCTCCTCCTCCTTGCGGCCTCCCTCCAGCCGCGACAGCAGCGTAAGACCTCCCCTGCCCCACACTACTGCCATCATCTTCAAGGCCCCACTCAATCTGATCATACGGGACCTCATCTGTACCACCTTCCTCTAACGTTAGGATCATGTGATCCTTGGCCTTTACTTGGCCTGAGATAGTACGATTCTTCCACTTCTTCCCCTTCTCCAGGTCCTTATGCCAGAAAGTGGTAACTGGCATAGACAGGATCATGTGATCCTTGGCCTTTACTTGGCCTGAGATAGTACGATTCTTCCACTTCTTCCCCTTCTCCAGGTCCTTATGCCAGAAAGTGGTAAGTGGCATAGACTTTGACTCATACATGACGACCTCCCTACTCAATTGATCGTATGTGATGCCGGCCTGCTGCGACTTGTCAAAGAAATGCCCGCGTAGGGCCTCTGGGATGGCACAATAAAACAACTGGACCAACTGGGGCTTGGTGACCCCGTGGTCCGGGACGGCTACCAAGTCGTCCATAGTACCCTTGAGTGCCTTGGCACTCCTCCAYTGCCGAGAGTGAATCGTTTGGAGCTTRKCAGAGGCTCTAATGCCTCGYGTTGGGTCAGCGAACCGCTCCTTGAGGAGCTTGAGGAATTGGGAGAGAGGAGTGACTTTGGAATACGCAACCAGGTTGTTTTCACAACCGGCTGTACACGCAAGAGACCTGGCGAAGCTAGCCGCTTCATCTTTGAGGGCCTGAAAGGCCACAAGGACTTGTTCCTCGGCCAAGATATGCTGCAAGTAAATATAACTATTGATACTGGCTTCCCAGTTGTCAAAGTTTTCTTCCTTCTTTCCCTCGTACGCATCCGGAAACTTAAGCTTCACTGGGTCCTTACGGGGTCTGGCTTCTCCTTCTACAGCGGCTGCAGCTTTGGCACCCTGAATGGCGCCCTCACAAAACTTCCCTACGTTGTCTCTCAATTGCTTGACTTCACCCCCAATATGGGTGACGATTTCGCACGCAAAATCCCTGAACCCGGACCGCATGGCACTCAACGCTACATCCTGGCTCCAGCTTGCCTGGCGCTCCTCCATCCAGGCCTTGCTCAACACCTCTAGATAGCCCAGTACTTTTTCCCACTTGGCCTTATCATCTGATTGGGCCAACACCTCCGCTCTACACACCTGCACCTTTGCCACTGCAGCGGTCATCTTATTCACTTCCTCTCTCCTCCTCTTCTTCTCCCTCTTCATTCTCAACTTCCATGCTAACTTTTGCTCGTCTTCCCTCTCTCTTCGTTCCATTGGGTCTGTCATGGCTGCTAGCTCAGCGGCCAGCGCAGCCTTCTCATCCTTAGTCACATAGKACTCCGCCTCCTCGTCTTCCCCCAACTATAAATTAGCGACCCACTCGCTGATCTTCTTCTCSAGCTCAGTGTCTGTCTCCCACTTCATCGTGCCACCACTGCTCCCTTCTCCACTCTCAATTCTCATTCTCTCTCTCTCTTCTTCTGCTGCCGCTTCTGCTTCAGCAGCCTTCCTTCTTTCTTCCTCCTCCTGTTGTACCCTCTTCATCTCCTCCTCTAACCTCTTTATCTTTGCCGCCTGGTCATCTGCGATAGCCTTTAGCTTCGCCTGCTTCTCGCGCTCTTTCCTCTCTTTGTTCTCTCTGACTAAGGCGGCCATCTTTTCTTGCTGCTCCTTGCTATAGGGGTTAGTCTCTAGCCCAGTACGGGTCTCAACCATGGTGATAGATAGTCTCTAGCCCAGTACGGGTCTCAACCATGGTGATAGGTGCACAATTAGGATGATTCCACTCCTCACCACGTAGACGTCAACCCCTGACTGACAGACCTACTGACTCAATCTAAGACTCACAAAATCCTGACAGGGATCCTGTCAACTATGGTCTCTAGCCTAGACCTACACTATGGCTGTCACTACTGAACCAGTGGCTGATCAGGAGGCATTTAAGGAGATCCCCCGTAACTCCTCAAGAATTCTTTAAC